ATCACCTTGTCCTGGGTGATGTTTGGTTTACAACTGGCTTTAATGGGTGGATCTCACCCAGCGCTTAGAGAAAATCTCTACAAAGTAAAATTGTGATATTTAAGGTCACATAGAATCTGATTGTGGGGCGTTAGAGTGTGGTCCCGTGCCCTTGCTATTGCAAGTGCTGGAGGGGCAATAAGCCAAGTTCATGGCTGGGGGGCAGATGTGACAGGAGGGGATTCAATTGCTAGATTTAGAATAGTGGTTTGGGAGCCAAAGAGGAACGAATGCGACCAGCCTGTGGACATCCACCATTCCTCCATCGGTGGGCACACGGACTCCACCAAATAGTCCTAAGATAGTAAATGTAATTGCAATTAAAGATTTGAAGTAGATGTTTGAAATAGAAACAGGATATAGAAATAGAAATGCCTGGGTAGAACGGGTCAAATATCCAGGGAAAATAGAATCGTTTGAGATATATTAGCTGAAAAGGGAGGAGTATGCATATAATGCTAGGGAATACGTGTTGCACATCTATTCCAAATAATACAACACCAGATGGAGCCATAACCAGGGCCTTACAAGGCCTCACAACGTTGGCAGAAGAACTGGCTGAAAATACAAGAACAGGTTACTTCATTAACAGGATGGTTAGAATCCTGATTTGGAAAATGGAGAGGAATGGTGATATCAGTTTTTACTTCTGTAGTTGTAGTAGCAGGTGTATGAATAGCTATATGGTGCTACAGAATTCCATATATAGGAAGACGTGTGCAACTTCTTGGAACAATTTTGTTGAAATAACTTTGTCAAAACAAATGCTCATGGGACCACCACCCTACTCTAATGAAATGCTTTTGATTAAAAAAAAATAAATTAAAGATGATTGGGGCGACTTATCTTTAGATCAAAACCACGAAATTACGTTATCCAGACTGGAAGCGACATATGGGGCAATTCTTTAAGGAAAGTGCAAAAACCAAAACCAGTATAATAAGAGAAAGGGGGAGTTGTGAGAGAAACAGTGTTGTTTTCGCATAACTGGAGACGGGGCTTTGCAGTATTAAGTCTTTCCAATATTAGAGCTTTAAGACCAACATTAAGGCTTTGCAATATTAAGAGTTTTCAATACTGGGGCTGGGGCTAAGTTACTAAGGGAACGAAACAAAGGGTTTGAGATCTAGTAACTCAAAAAAGACACACTCTGTGGTTAAAGCCAATGTCATCTCTAGATGAAAGATACACTCCTTGGTTAAAAAGCATACTGTCTATGTACAAACTAAGCTGGTGCAGGCTGGTTAAACAGTAAGTTGGGGTACCACATGCCTGCCAAAGAGTTACAAAATTGAACCGGAAAAGGATTATGTGGTTAATAACGATGTGGTTAATAAATAAGAGGAAGGGGCATACAACATCCAGTAAGGGGAGGTATAAACAGAGGCGAGACAGTTATCACACAGATTATAAGCACTGAATAGGCTGTAAACCTTGGAGTACCCAACCAGTGGGGAAACAAGGGAGGGAACTTGTGGGCGGGGTAGGAAATAGAAATCATAGTTCTGCTGTTGCTGTGTGTGCCTACGTGCTAGGACACCCGCTTTTTGCAAAAACATTAATAAAGAGCTGCTTCGCTGTTGTGTCTACCCTGAGCTTATGTTTTTACCTAGAGACCATTTCCCACAGCACAGCAGCCACACAGAGCTGAAGTGCCTCTCTGTTTCAGCAAAGTATGTGAGGTCTCAGATAATTATCTGCACACTCAGAAAGTGCCTACTACAAATCTGTGCCTGTGATCAGCAAACTGCTTGGACAGATATCCCATCTTCACACTCAGGGGAAGAAAAGGAATCTAAGCGATGGATCCAGTGCAGGGGCCATCTGTGTCAGAAGAGGTTTTTGATTTGAAATTCTTCTAAAGTGCCCCCATCTGAAAGATGTCATACGTGCTGAGTGAGGGGAGTGTGCACAATGTTTTGGGACACTGGCTAATGTTTAGGGCATATATATCTCACTCAAATCTCAGGTTAAGCTTTTCCCTGTTGCTCAAGTCCATCATTAATGGTGATTAAGCTTGTAATTTAGGTTTAATTTTGGCCACGTCTTTCAGGGAGCTCACTTAGAGGGGTACCAACAATACGCTACGTGTCTGGCTTAGCTGTAGATGTGCTTTAGGTTTAAGTGCTGATACTGGAAGCTGCTTTGCATCTTGCCTGGTGTAGCAGTCCACAGCGCAGCTACCCAGTGAGAGGCTGTGCTGCCACAAACCTGCACCCTGCAGTGTTGCTGAGGATCTGGAGAAGTTGGTCAGCTCTTCAACCACCTCTCCAAGGAGGGGCTTGAAGATTTTTAGGTTCACGGTATAGCTTGTGCCTGGTAGGCTCTGCAGACCCTCATTTGATTAACTTCTGGTAAAGAAGTCCCTTGGACTTGTTGTGACTATGTACCACTGGAAATAAACTTAGTTGTTAATGTTGGGCTGGAGCCCTGAAACTCATTTTCTGACCATATCTCCCAAAGTTCTTGCTTTTTTTGTTACCAGATACGTGATCACGGCTTTGATTCAGAAACTCATGTGCTGCAGGGCTGCTGGTCTCTCTCATATCCTCATGTGCAGCATTGCTTAAGAAGCTCCTCAGTGCCTTATGGCACAGGGATGGAGGATAAGGGGACCAGCACACAGTTCAGCTATTTAAACCTGGTGCCAGGTGCCTTAACTTTGGAGCAACGGGAGCTGCTGATGTATGATATTCTTCAAGTTGAATCTGCGTGACTTCAGTGCATGTCTAAGCCAAACAGTCCCCGGAGCTTTTACTGTATTTCCTTCTGCGGAGAAGATGGCAGTGAGCTTAAACATCTCTCCTAATGCACTACAACGGACTGTGCAAAGTGCACATGCGAAGGAATCGGCTGTCCATTTTTATTTCTGAAAGACCAAGCGTAGAAATATTCTGCTGAAGGACCCTGCTGTAGTCTTAGTTCTTACATACATCTTCTATGATTAAGTTTTGAGACTTGCGTGGTGGCTATCTTTCTTCTGAAAGATGTCATACTCACTTTTTTTATCTAGGCTAGGGTTGGTACACCTTCAAAGCACCCTAGGATGTTCAGGTTCCTTCTCCTGGGAGGAAGCCTACAAGAGCATATCTTTGCTCAGCCTTTATTTCCTACTTGCTCAATACCACGACAGCTCTGGGACAGAACACACCAAGACTTTAGCCTCCCCCTGCTCCCCTAGAGTCAGGCTGAGTTTCCTCACAGGCCTCTCTAGAGGGATCTGTCCTCCTCCCAGACACCCGTAGAAGTGAAGGGCCTAACAAGAGACCCTGATAACCAGCTGCACAGCTCCTGCCTTCCCCCCTAGGGACAGAGAGGCCACAGCTGCTTTAGTAAGACAAAATAAGCAGAGGGATACAGATAGAATGGAAGTCTTATGTCCCTTCAGATGCTGGGCACCCTGCCTTCAGATAGAGTTGGAGCTTTTCCTTTTTGGTCCTATGAGCTAATACATAAAGCATCACAAGAAAACACCATTGGTTATGAAGGAAGTTCACAGGAGTACTTCTTGCTGTGTTTCCAGATACAGGCAGGGCCAGGCAGCTGGTGTGTCAGTATCAGGCAGGAGCTGCCCATAAACCCTGTTAGCACGCCTTGGGCAGTGCAGACCAGTCCTGTGCCTGCTCAGGGGATCACCACCTCCGTAATGTGCAATGGGCTCCTGGTCTGGATCATCTCTGCCTTGACCCACACACAATTTACCTTTCCCACAGGTATTATAAATGACACATGATGTTGATAACAAAGGGTCTTCTCAAGGCCAAGGACAAGGCCTAAGAGAGTGGACATTACCTGTTCAAGATCATTAGGTGTTTGATTACAATGTCTTCCGCAAGGAGGGACTGAGCTCTGCAGGGACTCCTCCATCTGGGGACTGGCTGAAATCACTTCTGCTCCAGTGGGGCATGGTCTGGGCTCCAGCGGTGGCTCCCTGGGGCAGCTGAGCACCTGAGTAGGGATCAAAAGGGTCAGTGACGCCTGGTCCCCCAGGCTGAGACTGGAGCCCCGCTGCGCTGCGGCTGGAGATGCCTCAGGCACTGCAGACAGGCTGCCCCGCTCCAGTGGCACTTCCGGGTCCTGCTACGGCACAAGTAGAAAGAAGAGAACTCACACTCCCCAGCCTCAGTAGTAGGGCCTTGGTTTCTTACCTCGCGTTCCCTATAGCGGCAGCTGGACCTCCCCACAGACCCTTATAGAGACACCTGGCCTTGTCCCAGACTCTTATGGAGGAGACTCCCTCCCCACCCCCCTCCGCACCGGGGGCATTACAAGAGAGCCTGGCCCCTCCACAGGTCCCTATAGGCGAAGCTGGCCCCCTCCTAGGCTCCTCTAGATGAGCCTTGCCCCCCTGCCAGTCCTTTTAGGGGGAGCCTGGCCACTCCCTTATAGAGAAGTTTGGATTCTTTCCCGGCTCCTAGAGATGATCCTGGCCTCCCATCCGGTCCTCAGTAGGGGAACTTACCTCCCTCCCAGGCTCCTGTAGAGGAGCTTGGCCTCCACACAGCACTTTATAAAGGATTCTGTTCCCCCACAGGCCCTTGTAGGAGGGCCGATCCTCATCTCTAACACTTATGGAGGGGCCTGGCCTCCCCACAGGATCCTATGGGGTAGTCCGACCTCTCCCCACGCCCTTACTAAGGAACCTAGCCTTCCCATATCTGAGCCTATACGTGAGCCTACCCCAAGCCCGCTCCCATCCTGACAGGAGACCTGCCTCACCCAGGCCTGGCGGCCATGCTCCGGCTCCCAGCTCTGCGTTCTGCGCTGAGTCCTTCCGTGCTTCACGTAGCCACCGCCCTGCTGACTGGAAGGGAGCGGGTGGGGGCGGTGTCAATCTCCCCCTCGCTTCCGCCCGCAGTACCCGTGGCTGCGGCTTGGTGGTGCCGCAGAGTATGGCCCTGGTGGAGGCCGTGAGGGGGCCCCGCAAGGCCCACACCAAGAGCAGGCCCGAGGTCCAGGGGGAAGGCGGGGATCGGCTCCGGGTGAGGCTCCTCCGGTCCTCGTCCGGGCTGCTTCCGCCGCCTGCCGGTTGTGGTGGGTCCGGCGAGCTTAGAGGGGCGGGGAGGAGCCTGCGGGGTTGGTACACGCCGGGGGGGGGCGTTCGTCAGCCCTTTGTCTCGTGTTCGCGCCTATTCCTGAGTGGGTTTAAAGCGGCAGAGAGGGTGTCAGCTCCAGGCCGTGCTTGTGTCCGTGTTTGTTTGTCTGCTGCTGGAAGCGCCTAGATCGGGGGGTGTGTGCCTATCTGAAAACACATGTCCCGTCCCTGGCAGTGATCAAGGCCAGGCTGGACGGGGCTTAGCACAACCTGCTCTAATGGAAGGTGTCCCTGCCCGGGTTTCAGTAGTTGTGGAATGATCTGAACTGAAATACCTTGCCTCACAGCCAGATCAACTTGGGAATCTTTCTCTGAATTGCCTAACCTCTTTCATGTTGTACACTGCACCCCGGAGAGCAACGGCAGTGAAGTCCTGGTTGTCAAAGCCCTTTGAGAATAAATTGGTGAATTAATTGACCACTGTTTGAGAAAACAAGGGTCAGATCTAAATGTCAGCTATGGCTGTGATTCCAGAAGAAGTTCTGTTTTGTGGCTGTGCTTGCATGATTTTAGTTGGTGGCAGGGCATGTCTGGAACCACGCATGAAGTCAAGCAGAATGTCCCCACCCAGGGCTTGTTTTATCTTTTCTTAAACACGGACTTCGTTACCACCGTGCTCATTCCCCCTTAAGCCAACGCGACTGATCCTGGATGCAGCAATGAGGATGGTACTCCTGCAAAGGATGTTTTTTTACATGTTCGGTGACAAATGTATCTTGCAAACTACTGTTTGAAGACAGAATCCTTAATCCCTGGGTACGTAGCTCTACTTCTACCTGAATCTCTTAAGCTTAATAATCCTCGCTGTGACACATTCTTCTGAGGTAGTGTATGATCTCTATTTCCCAAGTCCATGTACATGATTTGGGTGGTGGTGGGGTAGATGTGCAAATACACGTTCCTGTATTGATCAACCCTATAACTGTGGGATCTGGCAGAGGTTCCTCTGTCCTGCGATGCATGTTTAACACTTGAATTTCCCAGACTTTTCTAGGCCCTGGCCAGCATTGAGGGGCTGTACTGCAATGATTCTATTACCTGAAAGGAGGTTGTGAGGTGGGGGTCTGTCTCCTTGCCCAAGTACCACGTGATAGGACAAGAGGAAACGACCTCAAGCTGCACCAGGTGAGCTTTAGGCTGGGTATTGGGAACAATTTCTTCCCCAAGAGGGTTATCAAGCACTGGAACAGGCTGCCCAGGGCAGTGGTGGAGTCACCATCCCTGGAGGTGTTTAGTAGATGTGCAGATGTGGCACTTCAGGACACGGTGTAGTGGTGGATTTGGCAGCGTAGGGTAAACGGTTGGACTCAATAATCTTAAAGGTCTTTTCCAGCCTAAATGATTCCACACTTCTAGTCAGAGCATCTACAAGATGATGCTTTGGCCACCTTACATTGTGCCTTCATTTCCATGCACACATGGCGGGCAGCATCTCTACCCCGAGGGCTAGCACTCTGCTCTCCTCTGCTGAGTCCACTCTCTGCCGCAGCCACATTTGTCTGCTGCCCTGAGCCTTGGTGAACGTCCCCAGCATGGCTCTGCTGTTGAACCAGCTGGCTCTTCATGGCTGTGGGTTTGAAACAGCTCCAAGTCTTGAATCCTGAGCTACACTTACCATATGTCTCTCAATGAGCTTACTGGGGTGCTGTTCTGTGGTATGGCCACTCACTTTCAACAGGATGAAGCTGAGGGTTTTTTCGCATCAGTTTTTCTGTGCCCCAGCTTGACTGTGTGCTAACCTGGGGCAACTCTTTGCTTCAGGTTGCTGTGTGTTGAAAGCTGGCTGTATTCATTGGGGTGAGGGGCAGATGTGACTGTGCTTGCTTGAGGAACTTCTTGATTCCTGTTTTCTTATGCTGAAAGGTGACCCCCAGCAGGACTGATGCTGACATAGCTAATGCTGCATGGACGCCGTTTCAGACTTCCTGCTGCTTTTATCTGTTTCTGGAAATGGAGGTGTACAATAGGCTCGGTTTGATGTCAGCTACAGCAGGTGATTTGAGCAACAGTCTTTTCATGTATGTGTGTATATATATGTATATTTGTGTGTATCTATATATACACATATATGAAACTTTCTTTTCTTTGCAGAGGTGGTGTGGGAGAAGGTCAGATCTAGCTGGCACAAACCCTTTGGGAAGAAGCAAAGAAAATGGAGGAATTCAGGGAAGAGCAAAAACTGCATCGGAAGAAGGTCAGGATGTTGATCCATTACCAATTACCATCCTTGGTGATGGATTTTGGCTCCTGGCTCGTTTCTCCCACCATGCCCCAGCCCCCTGCATGCTGCCAGTGCCTGTCGCTGCTGGGAAGTCCTGAGCTCCTTCCTATATGTTGAAGCCCTGCTGCTGAACCTCTGACTTCCTTCTTCTGACTGCCACATCTTCTCCTTTGGGTGCCTTCTGGGGCTGGCTATCGCAGGGCTCACCTCCAGAGACACCAGCCTCAACCAGGAATGTTCTTAAAGCATAGAGACATATATCTCATACATATAGTGTTGTGTGATGTCCATAGGGTTTGCTAAAATTGGCAAGTCTTTTAACCTCTTCTGGCTTGAGATTCTTTTGTCTGGAAAATGAGAGAAAACTGCTGCAAGTTTGGACGTAGCAGAAGGGAGCTGGCTTCCCAATTTTCCTAGATTCAATGGAGATGATACAGTACTATATAATGGTGGATTTCATTTGTAGAGTTCCATTGCATAGACAGGTGGAGGCTTAGCTAGAAGTATAAAAGGTGGGTTTTGTGACGATGCTTGAGGTGGACACAGGTCCTTAAGGCCATCTGAATTTGGTCTGTGCCTCTTCCTTTCCTAAGCCACATAGTCCATCGTGGAGCTTCGATGCTCAGTGATGTGTTGACTCTCTTGTCTTCACAGATAGACCTGATAATGGAGGCGATTCAGAAAATCAGGAGTCTGCAGTACGAGAAGACCATGGTGGTAAAGCAAACATGCTGCTCTTTCTTGCTATATGGTTTAACACTGCTAGCATACGCGCACAGTGCTGGCACAGTCTTACATATGGGGGTCTTCCTCTGCTGCAACTCATGCAGACACTACATCAAGAGCTGCAGCAGAGGAAGACCGTCACATTTAAGTCTGCATAGTGTGTTCTGAAAAACTGGAGAGTACACCACGGACATGGCTAGTCACAGCCTTGCATGGTAGGTTAAGAGTGATTTAGATGTCACGAACTCGATTGCTATGAGCTTTTCATGCCAAATGAAGAGCAGCTTGTCTTGTGAGGTCAGTTTTGGTCAAGCAGCTGGGCACGGAATGCCTTGTGTGCTGTCCCCTGCTCTGCGGGCAGCCTTTGGTAACCTCTTCACTTGGAGGCTGTTTTGCTCCAGAGCTATGTGCATGAGCTGTAATAGTACCTCCTTGCTTGCTAACACGCTCCTGCCCTGTTTGTTGGCTCTCCTAGGCCAAGCGCCTTTATGAGCAGCACCGCAGGGATAAGGGTGAGGCAGAACAAGCTGTGCACCACAACACAAACGTGGTTACACAGAAGCAGCAGGAGAAGGTATAGAGAGGCGGGTGGCCATGGGACAGGAAGGGTGTATGTTCTTGGAGCTCTCCTGCCCCATAACTCTTCTCCCAGCTCTGGGTTTGGGGGTGAGATGGAAGGGCTGGCAATGTTCTCTAGCTGGCCTTCAATACCGTTGGTGATGCACGTTAGCTCTCCTGTAGCTTTCTTCTCTCTCCCAGTTTTGGCAGCTGTTCCTCAATCTGGCTGAGATGAAATCACCTCCGGAAGACTCTGGTGAGTGTGGCAATGCAGGGTTTGGAGGGTGAGGGGAGTGTTTGCTGGGGCAGGGGTTGTGAAGCCATGGCATGGCTCTTGAGCGAGCTCCAGCTCCTGGGTCAGGGCTGGCTCCTCAGAAACTCATGCCCAACATAGCAGGGATGGAGCTCACTCGAGAGCCATGCCATGGCTTCGCACCCCATTTCGTGTTTCTCACCGTTTCTCTGTGGCATGACCCTCCACCTTGCTGCACAGCTCTGTATTTCCTTGCGGTGCACATCCATAGCTGAGCTCACACATTACTGCTGCTTTCTCCCTGATGTCCCTGCCGATTCAGGTTTTGTGTAGTGCCTTCTAGCAAAGGGTCCTTTTAATCCATGTTAATCAGATGACAGTGTGATTTGTCTCAAAGGCAGGAGTTACCAGCAGAGCGTTACCACACTGGAGAAGATCCGGGAAGAACAGCAAAGAGCACGTCAAAGCTTGTGAGGTAAAAGCCCCCAAACACCTTCACGTGGCAGTGTGGTCCTCTGCATGTCCACTCCTTGTTGTAGAAGTCCGGGATGGCACAGATCTGCCTTCTCTCTGTTGCCCTGGCAGTGAAGCAGCAGGACGTGTTGCAGCTAACACTGTGTGTGCCTTAGGCGTGCCTTCTGCATTTAACGTCCCACCACTTCAAGGTTTCCACTATTTTTTTTTTGTTTTTATTTTTCCTTCCACTACCTTTTCAAAGTAACAGAATCAAAGCAGTGACCTTTTTGCCCATTAACCTGCTTGCGCGTTTGGTGTGGCCATTATCCTGAACAGCCGTGGTCACTTCCAGGTACTCAGTGACTTAAGGCCAGTGTGTCCTACAGCCACGACAGCACCTAGCAGACTCTGAAACTCTGATGGACTTTAAATGAATTTGCAGTAGAAGGCGCTGACACACTGGGGATGCAAGCTGGGTGAAGCCATCTCCATGTGAACCCAGCGTGCCAGCAGCCCTTCGCCATATATCTCACG